AGCATCTTGAGAGGGAGAGGGGCAGAGAGAGAGAAAGAACCAAGGGGACACTGTCACTTTCTACTACCTACCCACAGAAGTCCCGATGGCATCACTTCCGCTGTGTTCCATTGGTCAGAGCAGCCTCTGCCACCACCCAGACAAAAGGTGCTGGGGGAAACCTGCTTCCTCTGGTGGAAGGAGAGATGGTCCCACTGTAGGAAGAGCATAAGAGACAGGATAAAAATGGAGGTGTGGCTTTCTTTGGAACATATAATCTGACACAGATGTAGGTGGAGCTCAAAAAATACTTTTTGAGTAAATCTGTAAGTGCTGAACACCTGCTCTCAAAGAAGCTACAATCCAACTGATAAAATAAAGCGTAGAATCATAGAACCCTTTGCTCAATGGCACCGAAGACCAACTAGCTCTGTGGCTCTTGGCTGTTTGTGTATCACTGGTGGTGCTTTGGGAGAAGTGCTGTGCTATGGTCAAGCGACTTAGTTTCAAGCTCCAGCTCAGCTTCTCACCAGGTGTGATCTTGGACAAGTTAGCTAATCTCTCCAGACTTCTGTTTCCTCTTATACAGTGGAGTGAACCACCTGGGTGGCTCAGGGGTTGAGTGTCTGCCTTTGGCTCAGGGCGTCATCCAGGGGTCCTGGAATTGAGTCCCACATCGGGGTCCCTGCATGGAGCCTGCTTCTCCCTCTGCCTGTGTCTCTGCCTCTCTCTCTCTGTCTCAAATACATACATACATACATACATACATACATACATACATACATACATTAAGAGTGATTGACCTGGCCAGGAAATTTCTTTTTTTTTTTTTAAGATTTTATTTATTTATTCATGAGAGACACACACACACACACACACACAGAGAGAGAGAGAGGCAGAGACACAGGCAGAGGGAGAAGCAGGCTCCATGCAGGGAGCCCAACGTGGGACTCGATCCCGGCCCTCCAGGACCACAACCTAGGCTGAAGGCAGGCGCTAAGCCTCTGAGCCATCCAGGGATCCCTGGCCAGGAGAATTCATTCAAAATATTTGGTATAAGGTAAAAGGATGACCTTGTGTCCTTTCAATATCATATGGGAGCACTGCCAAGCCCAAGGACATCCCAAATTTTATTTAATTCTTTAGGAGATGTACTTTTGTCTTGCCATGTACTAATGACCAATGGCCAAATTCTCTGATGTTACATGTTAACTAGTAGATTTCCAAGACTAGGGCAGATAACCCCACAGCTTATAGTTTTCTTGTCCCATAGGGCACTAACCAGTTTTGTCGGTAGCTTAGAAAACTTATTTTAGGATGTCTTTCCTGACATCTGTTCATCAAATTCTCCTTTGAACCAGCTTTATCACCTTCCTGGCACCCTCAGGAATTAGCTACATAAATAATTGACATGTTTTCATTCTATATTTGTCTGAGAGTCGGGTTTTTTGCTTTTTTTTTTGTTTGTTTGTTTGCTTTTTGAAAAGTATGCTTTCATAACCCACAGTCCTATGCACTAGGAGAAAAAAAAAAAGTTATTAGTGTCCTAGCTATTTACCGGAGCTGATGAGGGCCAGGATGACTTTAAAGGAATGACTTTTTATAGAAAGACTTTTGAGAAGATCTTGATAGATGTGAATATTTTTCAGAAGAGGGAGGACATTTGAGAACTGGGGGATCCTCAGTGCAGAAGAGCCAAGTAAGTGGGGAAGTCAATGAACAAACCAGAAGGCCACCGTCTGGAGAGCGTAATAAATAACGTTTTGAAACTAACCACATGAAAGGCTATGGATAACCTCACCATTTCATGAATTGTGAATTATTAAGATGAAATCCAGAAGTTGTTAAAAAAAAAAAGAAGAAAAAGAAAACCAGCAATTTTTATGTATTTAAATTGTATTCAGTTTGGTTTTGTACTTTTGTTCTTTGGCTTTTTTCAACATAGAAGGAGTAGCAATATGGTTGCTCCGGCAGGCAATATGCTTGCTCTTTCTACTCAAGCCTGCATGGGTGGCCTTTCCTGGGCTTACTTTAGAAAGGAAATGAAATAGTGCTCTTGGTCATGAAGTTTTAATCTTTTCTCCTGGGCTCTGCAGAGCCATCCAGTGAGAAAAGCCTGTGTCAATGCAGGGGGTTTGGGTTACCAGCTAGACGAGTAACGTATAGAAGAAAGAAGTCATTTTCTGCCTTTGAAATCTTTCTTTAAAACTCATGAATTTTTTATTCTGTAAATTAAAGAATGATCAAGGACAATGCTTGGAAGCAAGCAGCCAAGGGAACCCCTTGCAGAAAGCCACGCCCAAGGGAGCCCTGTTTGGAAACAGACTTGAATTTCACTCCCTTCTATACCCTCCTGACTTGTGCAGTTGGCATTTCGGCTTTCAGACACTGCTTCTTTCCTTCTTCAGATTGTAGTGAGCTGAATAAAACACAAAATTTACTATTTTTACTCTTTTTTAAAAAAAGATTTTATTTACTTATTTGACACAGAGAGAGAGAGAGCATAAGCAGGGGGAGTGGGAGAAGTAGGTTCCCCACTGAGCAGAGGGCCCGACATGGGGCTCGATTCCAGGGTCCTGGGATCACCACCTGAGCTGAAGGCAGATGCTCAACTACTAAGCCACCCAGGCGCCCCTATTTTAACCTTCTTTAAGTGCACGGATAATGGCATGAAGCACACGTGTGGCATTTCCATTGTAGTGCAACTGGCACCACCATCCTCCCTCCAGCTCCAGGACTCCTTTTACCCTGCAAACCTGAAACTCTGGCCGTGTTAATCAAGACCTCCCATCCCTGGTGACCACCATTCTGCTTGCCATCTCTGTAAATCTGACCATTGTAGGTACTTCATGTGAGTAGAATCAGACAATATTTGTCCTTTTGTAAGTGGCTTATTTCACTGAGCATAATGTCCTCAAGGTTCATCCATGTTGTAGCATCTGCTAGAATTTCCTTCCTTTTTTAAGGCTGGATAATATTCTACTGTATGTGAATGCCACATTTTGTTTATCCCTTCATACGTCCACGGGCCCTTGAGTTGTTTTCACCTTTTGGCTGTTGTGAAGAATGCTGCTGTGAACAGGGTGTACAAATATCAGCATGCTACTTTTTATGCACCCACTTGTTATTTTATTTTATTTTATTTTTTAAAGATTTTATTTATTCATTCATGAGAGACACAGAGAGGCAGAGTCAGAGGGAGAAGCAGGCTCCTCGCAGGGAGCCTGACGTGGGGCTCGATCCCTGGACTCCAGGATCACGCCCTGAGCCTAAGGCAGACGCTCAACCATTGAGCCACCCAGGCATCCCTGTTATTTTATTTTTATTATTATTATTTTTTAATAATACATTTATTTTTATTGGTGTTCAATTTGCCAACATACAGAATAACACCCAGTGCTCATCCCGTCAAGTGCCCCCTCAGTGCCTGTCACCCATTCACCCCCAACCCCCGCCCTCCTCCCTATTTTTATTTTTATTTTTATCTTTATCTTTTTAAAGTAGGCTCCATGCCTAGTGTGGAGCCTAGTGTGGAGCTTGAACTCATGACCCTGAGATCAAGACTTGAGCTGAGATCCAGAGTTGGACACTTGACCAACTGAGCCACCCGGGCACCCCTGTGTACCCACTTTTAAAGAAATGATCAGGGACGCCTGGATGGCTCAGCAGTTGAGCGTCTGCCTTCAGCTCAGGACATAATCCCATGATCCTGGGATCGAGTCCCACATCAGGCTCCCTGCCTGGAGCCTGCTTCTCCCTCTGCCCCTGTCCCTGCCTTTCTCTCTCTCTCTCTCTCTCTCTCTCTCTCTCTCTCTGTGTGTGTGTGTCTCATGAATAAATAAATAAAAAATCTTAAAAAAAAATAAATGATCAGGATGGTACAGAAGACAAAGGCATGTTATCACACCCTCAGCCTCATGAGGGGCATTTGGAAATGTTTTGTCCAGTCCTACTCCTGATGCATTTCCAGGAAGAGTTAAGTCATAAGCTGTGATAGCAATTCAGTGTTGACTGGCTATTACCCCCAGACCAAATATTCATGGGAATAAGGGACTGAGTGTTTGGGGGTGGCTATTGGCAGCCCTCCTGACATAGTCCCCCAATTTCCCACCCCCTCTCCAGTAGGAGACCAAGCAGCCCCTGACCGCAGGAGGTGGGCAGGTGATGAAGCCAAGCCAGCCAGATTATGTTCCTAGGAATCTGAAAAATTCATCTGATGGCAAGATCTCCAACAGAAGCTCATTATGAGCCTCTGCTGCCGTGGTCCCCAGATCTGTCCGGGTTCCTGCTTTCAACGCTGTGAGCAGCTCAGTATCATTCAAGTAACCTTCTCCTTTTGGCTTTCAGTTCATGAGTCAATTTCTAGTGCTTTCTATCAAAGAACTTCAACTAATAGACTATTCAAAGACTAATGATGCTTGAATTTCTTCAGGAAATATAGGAGTGCCATGGAATCCAATTTGATATGAACATGACCTATTTTATTATGGTCCATTTCTTTGAGCACTGTCCTGCTAGCTATTTTAAAAACATGTCCTGGGGCACCTGGGTGGCTCAGTGGTTGAGCGTGTCTGCCTTCAGCTCAGGTCGTGATCCCAGGGATCTGGGATCGAGTCCAGAACTGGGCTCCCTGCAGGGAACCTGCTTCTCCCTCTCTGTCTCTGCATTCCTCTCTGGGTCTATCATGAATAAATAAAAAATCCTAAGAAAATCAAATAAAATAAAAACATGTCCTAACCGAAGGAAAATCTTTCTCTGTTTCCCTCTGTGTCTGCACGTCCTTTTCTTTGTGTTTATCTCCGGCTCCCTCTGTGCCTGTCTGTCTGTCTCTCAGAGGAAAAGCAGAAAGGAAGACTAAGGAAGGAAGCAGGAGGGACTGAGGTTACAGGGCAGACTCCTCGACTGAAGAAGACCGTGGAAAGTTCCAGAAGGGTGCTGTTCTCTGCTCCTAGGAACACATGCCTTTGGATAAGAGTTTCTTTTTTTTTTTTAAATTTTATTTATTTATTTACGATAGTCACACAGAGAGAGAGAGAGGCAGAGACACAGGCAGAGGGAGAAGCAGGCTCCATGCACCGGGAGCCCGACGTGGGATTCGATCCCGGGTCTCCAGGACCGCGCCCTGGGCCAAAGGCAGGCGCCAAACCGCTGCGCCACCCAGGGATCCCAAGAGTGTGTTTCTGATTCAAGGCTTCATTTACTGTTTTCAGCTTCTGGCAGCAACTCAAAGTAAAGATCCACCGAGGCTGGAAAGTTATTCCTGTTAGAGAGAGAATGAAAAAAAAAAATTTTTTTTAGAGGGGGAATAATTGTGCCTGCGTTTTCCGTTATTGGCTTTTGTGTTGTGTGTGTGTTTGGGGGGGGGGTTATTATTTTTTTTAATGAGAGAATTTCTCTGGAGTCAGAATTTCTTCAAGTGCTCTAAAAACTTCTCTTCTTTGAGCCATAGCTCTGTGAGCCGCTTCAGAAGAGCCGCTTCTGGATGCTCTTCCACCAAGCATTCTAAAATGTGGTGTTGGCCTCTTTTTTCTGAGCCACATCAAAGAGCACATATTGTTTCCTTTCTGAGAACAAAACTCTTTAATGGCAAGAAAGAACAAGAACCTGAGCAGCCGACCATCCCTCTCAGGAAAGACACTGGTAACCCTAACTACTACAACAACAAAAAGATCTGCTTCCCTCGATCTCTACTCACTTTTTGAAATGGAAACCCAAGTACAGTAGTTATGCCCTGGTGTATACGGCTCTAAAATGCAATCACGCTTTTCCACTTTAAAAACTCTTTGTGAACCTGGTTCAATGATTAATCCTCACAGGGCAGTTGGTAACACCTATCAAATTTTTAGGACAAAATGTTCAGTAAAGTCGCGAAGAGCAAAATCACAAATATTTAGCAAAATTGCAAATGTCCTTGTTTTTTTACCCAGTGATGTCACTTGCAGAGCTCTATCCAACACATATCAGGTATCCATCACTGGCGATATATAGGTCTACACGCGAAATGACAGATGTAAGATGTTATTTGTTATAATACTTGGAAGAGCAAAATATTGGAAACAAGCTGAACCTCATAAATGCCCTTGTCTTTCAGTGGAACGCTACGTAGCAGTTAAAAAGAAAAGAAAAAGCATTTTTACGTATCAGTGTGAAAGGATCTTGAAGACAGACATATTGTTAGGGAACAAAAAGTAGTCTGCAGAGCAACGTGTATGTAGCGCTTCTTGACTCAGGATGCACATCAGAATCACTCGGGGAATTTTTTAAAGTCCTGATGGTTGGGTCCCTCCCCTAGAGATTCTGATTTAAGCTTTCTGAGAAGCTTCCCCAGATGATTTTAATGTACAGCCAAGGTTGAGACAAGCTGGTATGTGGTGCACTTCCATTTGCTTAAAGAAGAAAAAAAAAAGGGTTTCCTTTCATAAGCTACGATGATCTCTAGAAGGCCACCCAAGAGAGTTGTCTGTGTTTATGTTGAGGATGGGAACCGGCTAGAAATTTTCAGTTGCATGTCTTTCAACCATATAATTTTATTAAATTAATTTTATATCTTGTGAGCATATTACCTATTTAAAAATATATAAATGAAATTACACTTTAGAAATACTCTTGACAAATACTACTTTGGAAAGAACAGGTGGAAATATTGAGCAAAATGATCTCCTCCTTGCCTTTTTCTTTACCCGCAAAGGCTGATGTCTTTTAAGAGGAAGATATACTTAGGGAGGCAGAAAATAAAATACTTGTCCATCCATCCATCCATCCATCCATCCATCCATCCATCCATCCATCATCAATCCATGTGATTCTTCACTGAAATGTTGAGCACTTATCATGTGGCAGGCACAATGCCCTGCTCTTAAGGAGTTTAGTTAGGCTGGGGAGAAATAAATTTCAACTGAGATTAATAATAGTAGTAATAATCCAAGGTGATGAGGGCTACATTAGAGATACATGCAGAATATTTTGCTTTTGAAATACTTTGGATCCCCTGCACTTTATGAAGATAGGAGAGTGGAAAAACTCATGGATAGGGAGTTTCAAGTCTACAGACACCATGTGTGTTCCTATTTGGGATGGGTACAAAGGGCTTGGACGTGTGGGAAGGGGCATGCCAACAATAGGCAAGGGCCATGGGTGTTACTTCTGCCTCAAAATATCTTTCCATTAGACTTTCACATACTGACGGGATCTCTAAGTTCGTAAATATGAATTTGATTACATTTCTCATTGATGCCAATAAAATCTCCTCTTATCTATCTCCTTTTCTCTGTTCATCTAAATGTAGGTGCTTAATCTGTAATGTATTCTCCGTAATTCATTCCAGTTTAGCAAACAGTTAATGAATGTCTCCCTCTTCAAGGCTCTGGGATACAAAACCAAGACACTGTCTTGTAGCAGGGGAGTCAGGCAGTTCACCAGAATTATGTGCTCTGAGAATGGCCCTCTATATGCCTGTGCTGCCCTCGGCCTCCTTCTGAGAAAGCAGCCAGTTATTATTTTTTAATAAGATTTTATTTATTTATTCATGAGAGATACACACACACAGAGAGAGAGAAAGAGGCAGAGACATAGGCAGAGAGAGAAGCAGGCTCCATGCAGGGAGCCTGATGTGGGACTCAGTCCCGGGACCCCAGGATCAGGCCCTGGGCCAAAGGCAGACGCTCAACCCCTGAGCCACCCAGGTGTCCCGCAGCCAGTGCTTAATGTAAAAATCATCTGACATATGAACAAATACATTGGAGGTCCTGAGGAGGGAGTGATTGATTTTAGGATGTGGGGAGAGGTTGGGGTGGAGGTTAGTGTAGGGCCAACCATGGTGATATTTGAATTTGGTCTTGAGGAACGTATCGTTTCATAAGGACATACAACAAAGAACGAGAAACCTTTGTGAGAATTTGGAGATATGCCAGTAGCTGGAGTATTGGGGTCACGCAAGTGACCATGAATATCACGTAAGGGTTTGGAGGGCAGGCGGATGGGCAGGTGGTGATTTGGCCCAATAGTTTGGGGTCAGACCGTGAGATGAATTTGGACTTGCTCCATGGCAGTGAGGAGCCACCCATGCTGTGCCGTCACGGGGCGTGGGTTTGCAGCCGTCGTGCCTGCACAGCACCCAGGCTGGTCCGGGGCCTGCACGGGAGCTCCCACCCACTTGGTGAGGAGCCCGCTAATGCTTAGATTGCACTTCATTGGAACACACCTGCCTCTCTGCTTTCTCAGCTCACTGTAGATCTAAAACATAAAAAGTCAAGTGTGAAAGGAAGTGCTGACCTGCTAGATGCAGGCTACCGGGAAGGAGAAGGGGGAAAGTGGCAAACAGACCAAGCAGCAGACAGCCGGGCAGTGCCAGGGAGTTTCGTAACTCGTCCAACCGACTCTCGGCAACCACGTCGGAGATCGGCTGGTGTCCATCCTGCCCACAGTGGACCAACCTCAGGGGATGTTTAGGTCACAATTGCTCTGCTCTGTTTAAGAGAGCAGGGGCATGTGCCGTCTGTCTGAGAAAATTTTTATTGAAAACAAATGTTTTCAAGGTTTGACACTTAAAGGGGTAGAGCAAATATTTTTTAAAATTAATTTTTTGGGAGCATCTGAGGGGCTCAGTCAGTGAAGCATGGAGTCTTGATTTCAGCTCAGGTCATGTTCTCAGGGTCGTGGGATCGAGCCCCACATGGGGCTCAGTGCTGGGCCCGAGCCTGCTTGAGGTTCTCCCTTTCCCTCTGCAATCCTAACCCCCACTCACGCCTCCCTCTCTCAAAAATTAACAAAAATAAATTAATCTTTTTATTGTGGTAAAATATATATAACATGAAATTTACCATTTTCACCATTTTACGTGTACAGTTCAGTGGCAGTTGGTACATTCACAATGTTGGGGACGCATTGGCAGTATCTGTTTCAGAACTTTTTTGTCACCCCAAATAGACACTCTGAACCTATTAAACAATAAATTTCCCTTTTTCTTTCTTTCTTTCTTTCTCTCTTCTTTCTTTCTTTCTTTCTTTCTTTCTCTCTTTCTTTCTTTTTTTTAAAGATTTTACTTATTTATTTGAGAGATACAGAGATGGCAATAGACATAGAGGGAGAGAAGATGAGCAGGGAGGAGAGGGAGAAGCAGGCTCCCCATGGAGCAGGGAGCCCAACATGGGGCTCGATCGCAGGACCCTGAGATCATGCCCTGAGCTGAAAGCAGACGTGTAACCAACTGAGCCACCCAGGTGCCCCTAAATTTCCATTTTCCTCTCTCCTCTGCCCCTGGCAACCCGGCATTCCACTTCCAATCTTTATGAATTTGACTATTTTATATAAATGAAATCACACAATATTTGTCCTTTTGTGGCTGGCTTATTTCACTTGGCATAATATCCTCAAGGTTCCCCCACGTGTCAGACTTTCCTCCCTTTGGAAAGCTGAGTGATAGTATACGCCACATTTACCAGTCCTCCATCCATGGACACCTGGGTCGCTTTCACCTCTTGGCGATTGTGAACGATGCTGCTATGAATGAATATCTCTTTGTGTCTTTACTTCTGATTCCTGTGGGGACATACCCCGAGGTGGGATCGCTGGCTATGTGATAATGCTATTTCTAATGTTCTAGGAACTGCCATACTGTCTAAAAAATAATCCTTTTATCTTTTTCTTTACCCAACTGCTCCCCATCCTTCAAGGTCCTAATCAAGTTTTACCCACTTCAGGAAGTCCTCAATTTCTCCTGCACTCCGTGTGCCACACAATCTGGCAGCTGACTAGCCCTGTGTTGTCTGGTCTGTCCCCGTGTTAGCTGTGTATCCCAGGTTAGATTGTAAATTGTCCAGGTGGAGATCACATCACGCTCAGGATTGTCCTCACTCTATTGCATAGAGCTCAGAGAAGAGGGTAGGCAGATACTCATAAATATCCCTGGCTGGTTGCTTGAAGTACCTTCAGAAGGAGGCACGGTGCCATAAATCTTCATCCTCGTATTTCAGGGGATTTGGTGAACAGTGAAGTTATTTGGGGATAGAACCCCAAAGAAGCTCCCACACAAGGTGGGGAGCGTGAATGGTAGGGGCCGAGACAAAAAGCTCGGGGTTGAGTTGGCAATGGCACTGAGTATTAATGAAACAAAAATGAGTTAGTCGTGGCCTCGTTGCCTACGAGAGTGGCTTCGTGGCCTTGGACAGATTATTTACCTTCTCTGAGTCTTAGTTACCCATCAGCAAAATGAGGTTGATATATGGTCAGTTTACAAGCTCTTGATGAAGCTGACCTGGACCA